TATATATATATATATTTTTTTTGCCTGCTTGTTTATTTTCGGAATATTATTTTTGCTAGGCGCTCGGGGCTCCCAGGGAATCGGAGAGGAGGAGGAGTAGGGAGGGAGAGAACGAAACGAAAATGCGCCCTCCCCCCGTTCCAGTTTTGATTTCAGTCCGGGCGGCTGTTCCACATTGGGCTGTGGGCTGTGGACTTGGTTGTGGGCTATGATAAGAGAGCACTGGGACTACTGGGCCTGACCCATTTCCACGAGCGTACGTACACACATGGGCCCAGTTGCACAACGACGTCTCTGTTGTTGTTTTTTGTTTATTTTCCATTTTATTTTTATTCTCCGCTTTTCGTTTTTAATGAAAGTTATTGTGGCTGCTATCTGTGGCACAGCCCTCGCGGCTTAATCAACGCAAATGAGGAAGCCCAGTCAAATCAAGAACAGGCATAGCAACAGGCTGCCGCACCTCATCCTCATCCTCATTCACATCCCCATCCCCATCCCCATCCCCATCCCCATTCACATTCTCATCATGATGCCCATGCCCCAACCACATTTTCATCCTTCGGCTGGCCTGGGTTATTGTACTTTGACTGGCTGGGTTCAAAATCCCGGCACAAGGATGCCATAATAAATCCAGGGCAACCGAAAAGGGCAAAATGTTGGCTGGCAAGGAAGAAGGAAGGAAGGAAGCCAAGTTGGGCGGGAGGGTGTTGCGGTAAGGGGACACAACCAGCAGTCAACTGCAATGGGACACAAATATTTCATAACTTTGTAAGCGCTCGCAGCGCAGAGGTGGCGTCCAAGTTAGTGCCGCAAAGGGTTTCGAGGGGGAGCATTGCAAGAACGCAGCATGCATTCGAAAGGGGGAAACTAAAGAGCCTGAGGAATCCCGAGATAATTATTTAGGGGAGCTCACAATAAGTGTTGTGCTTATTAGTTATCATAGTTTGTATTACTATTTAAAGGGTGATGGCTGACAATTTATAAGCCTTGAAAATTAACGACAACAAATTATGTGTTAAAAAGTAGTTTTGGTTTAAAGATCATTTCTATTTCTATATGCAAACACAAAATGGCATAATATACATCATTATTGATTCCTAGAGTTTTTGGAACCTCTTTTAAAGGTGACTAAAAGTATGCAACAGTTGCTTACTGATCTGAAAGCTTGAGGGATTCATTCCAAAGACAGTTTTGAAAGAGATTTCAGAATCTTAGAGAATAACTCACTTTAAATGACATATTTATATAGTATAATCATCAGATTTTCTTCAAGATACATTTCTGAAAAGAATCTCATTTAGTGACCCCTTCCCACGAGTGCAAGCCCAGCCTCTGGCTTATTTAGTGCACAAATAAATTTATTTGTGCACATGAAACCGAATGGAGGACTAGAAACCAGAGAGAGAGAGAGAGAGAGGGCGTGCTGGGTGAAGTGTTGTCATTGTTGTTGCCCGCCTGTCTGCCCTTTTTATGAGCAATTTGATTTATGCATCGAGCAGACAGAAAGACAGACAGGCTGCCAGGCAGATGGGGGGGTGGTGTGGTGGCATCCACAAAAGTTGGCAAATATGCAACAATGAAAACGCAACAATTTGTAGTTAGTAATGTCAATTCAAGTGAAATCAATTGTGCGCACACGAAATATGCGCAAATTGTGATGTGGCAAGAGGAGGGAAAAGCTGGAAAAGCCAACAAAAGGATGCCAGCGGGAGTTGTCATTTTCATTTCATCAAAAAACATAAAGCTATGACATACACAGCTCTTGTCATCGAAATTGCCATATATTAATATTCCAATTATGACAATTAGTAATATTAAGCAATGGAAATGTTTTTTTTTCATACTTTAATCTGACCAAAAAACCTTTGATATTTCTAACCTCTGAGTGTGCAACCCATTTTACAAACGAGTTTGGCTTATGATTGCAAACGTAATCTAAGATTTAAGTGATCATGGATCACATGTTTTGAAAAAAACTAAACAAATAATGTTAAAAGTGATTCCCAATTCTAAATAAATCGGAAAATAAACCACCATTCGACCTTCTCCCTTTCTTCTCACCTCATCCAACACACGTGCAAAAACAACAACGACGATAAATATGCATGAATGAAAATTTCGCTTTAAACCAATTTTGAAGACCCGAAAAAGATTTCCAATGAAAAACGAATTTACGAGATGGTTGGGCAAAAGGGGGTGGTGGGTTGAGGTCTTTAGAGAAAAATAAATAAATTATCTGGAAAGCACATAAACAACGGCACTTCCGATTGGCGTAGAGAAAATGCAAATTGGGAAAAATTGGGAAAACTCGCCGCTACAAAGGAATTTCCATGTACAAATTATTGAACCCATGACAGAATGACAAACAAATTTCGTGGAAATATTAAACCAATTTAAAGAATTTTAAGAGTTTTCAATCTTTTTTAAGGTACAGAAAACAAGTATTGTAAGACAAATTACTAATGATAAAAGTTCTAATAAATAATATTAAAAACATGGGAAAAGTTATCAAATTGGAAAGCTTATTACTTAAACTGAAGTAGTTATTAAATGAATATTTTTCAGTAAGACTAACAAATCTGTATTTAGAAATTGAATTATTTTTTAAGCAATGTTTAACCCCTCATTCAGCTATGAATCATTCAAAACTTTTTAAAATATTTGTCAAAATTGCTTATCTGCAAAAAGCAAAAAAAAAAAGGAAAAAGAAGCTTGGGGAATTCCGGTGATCTTTGCTCAGAAATGATATTTTGGAAACTGTTTCAAGAGGGAAAAAAGTTTTGAATCCCAATTAGGTTAATATATTTACTCTCCTCACTCTCTCACTCCGCTCTTCTTGTTTCTTCATCTCCCTTCCTCTCTTTCGCACCCGTAAAGTGATTAAGCAAACAATGGCAGTGCAATTGTGTGCGAGTGCATGTGTGTATGTTGTGTATGTAAGACAGTGGGATTGGGAACAAAGATTTGTGCAATGCAAAATTGGCCGGGTTAATAAAAAAAACAAAAAAAAAAATGACTGCTATTTTAGCAAAGGGAAAGCGTTTTTCCATTATTCGGAGTTCAGTTTTTCCCTTTTTCGCTTGCAACTAAACCGGTTTTTGACCCTTTTGCAGGCGACAACAACAAAAACATCAACAACAACAACAACTGCACTCCGGAAATCACTTTCCCTAATGAAGCGAACCCACACACTCACACATGCACTCTTGTTGTTGCTGCATTGATAAGAGGCCTGTAACGGAATGCTTGTGCAAGGGAGATGGAGCGATTAGCAGTGGGGCGGGGCGGCACGTGTTAACCGACATAAACACGCACACAATCACACAAACATTTGCAACAAACATATAGTGCAATTGCGGAACAAACGCACAAATACCTTAACACAAAAAGTTTGCCCAACACACATACAGGTAAGCTTGCATATCGTCACACAAACACAAACACTCACACACACACTGTGGCATACGAATACAGGTTGAAAACACGCACGCAAAATTTCGGTAAACTGTTCGTTAAGCCTTTCGGTTTTTAAGTTTTTCCCGTTTCGAATCCCTTATGAACAGCCCATGACGATTACAGCCTTGCCAACCGGATGGGCGTGGCCTGTCAGTGGGCGGCAAAGCGGCACAGTGACGCGCATAAACAATATTTATTTATTTGTTTGTTTGGTTTGATTTGAAAACGGAACTTACGAATTCTTGTTGTTCTGCCTCCATTTTTTACCGAGTAAATAAGAGTGTGACCATAAGTGGACCGCCCGAATATTCTGGAGGTGTTTAAATGCACTAAATAAGACATAGCACTTGAGTAGAGGTTCACGTCTCCGCTTAATGCCTTTCTGCTAGCTAGAAATAGCTAAAATTCAAATGAGTCCAAACTTAGTTGGTTAGCCAAGATTTAAATTTCTTATTGACCTTTCTCATTTTATTTCTTATTGATAAATAATCAAACATATCAAACTGATCTAATAGTAAAAAAAATTAACTGTCAAAGTGAGCGAGGATCCCAAGTTCAAAATGATTGAAGTGGTATCGCTTTTTTGACACTTTAAGCTCTCCGCTTCGAAACGCTCCGAAGTGCATTTGGCTCTAGTTAAGACGGCACCGAAAAGGCATTTATCTTAAAGTCGTCAGAATATAAACTTCAAATTACTTATAGTTTTTAATTTATATTCAAAATTTATAAAATTTATTAAGACCTTTATATAACAATTAAAACATTCTTAATTTATTCACTAATAATACTTGATTGCCGAGGTAGTCGCTATTGCATACTTTTCGGCATTAGTGATTTAGAAGCTAATTCTATTTTATTTTTGTATCTGTTTATAATATACTTTATTATACATGTAGCTACATTTAGTATACAAGTAATCACTTTTTCTACTAGTAAATAAGTTTAAATACATGCTTATATTATATTGTTGTCCTTTAGTAAGTATCTAGTATACAATTTTCTAGTGTGTCGGAACAAGAAGTCAGCAGACCATTTTAAATTCAAGGGTTTGTGATTTCAAGTTGTCAAAAATCACACCAAATTCTTTTTAAATAAACATTTACATAATATTAAAGATTTTGAAATTTGTGACTTCTGGTGTTATGAAAGGCACTCCTGGGAGACTATTTTGAGTAATTTCTAAAATTGCAGTCGGGTGTGTTAATTTCCCGTTATAAATTATTCTTCATCAGCCAAGAGGTGTTAAACTTGACTAAGAGCAGGATCCATAATGGACCGTGCTTGTGTCCCGGGTGAACGCCTTTTTGAAAGCTAAAACTAACTATCATTTAAATAAGTTTTGAATTAAGAATTATTCAACAATAAAGTTCAATAAGTAAGTACAGACCTTTAGAGATGTGCCACGCTCGCTAAATACAGTGGGTATCCTTCCTCCAAATTATTAAAGGAAATTTAGGAAGTTATACCCCTTTGAGTCATATATCTGCCAAGCTTATAATATAAACTTAAGCCACCAAATTAAAAAGATTTTCTTTTCGATTTTAAAAAATTTTTAATAAATAAAACTAACTACGCACAAAAAATTGGTTCGTATGGAAAAAAAAAATCGTGTCGAGGCTTAAGAGCCTAGGCCTTGGATGGATTCTCTTCGCTGCTGGAAGTAGGCGTGATCTCCGCCTTGACCTCCTCCACCGGCTTAGGTTCAGGTGCAGGATCAACGGGAGCAGAAGTGGGTGCCACTGGGGCAGTTTTGGCCAGCTCACCGGGAGTTGGCTTCTTGGGCGCTGGCTTGCCAAAAATGGCCTTCTCAATGCCCAAAATCGGGGCCTCGAAGGCCAAGGTGGCGAAGATGGAGGCGGTTAGGGTGATGCCGAAGTCGTGCCACCAGCGGAGGATCTATAAAAGGGTTTAACGATTAGGAACCTTCAAGTAGAGAGATTAACTATTATTACTCACCGCATCGTAGTTGGAGAAGTGGGTGTCCGTCTGCAGACGAGCGGCGTTGACCAGCTGGACAATGCGATGGATCACGTACATGCAGTAGCACAGTCGGCTGAAGCCAGTGAAGAAGCCCCAGGACAAGAAGTCATTGACCAGACCACCATGACCATTGTAGCAGGCCCAAACGATCCAGCCGATGGACAAAGCCCAAGCAGTTCTGCTGAGAGGCTCAAAGAAGGCTCCTTCGATCAGGGGGGAATCAGGGGTATCCGGCAGGATGCGCCAGTAGGGTCCCCACATGCAGGCCAACATCGTTCCAAAGGCCACGAACCATCCGGTCAGTACCAATGGCTTGGTCATCGGGATCTGACGTCCACGGTTGCGGGTGAACAGGAAATAGCCAAAGATCACACCAATCAGCCAGGTGGGAATGCGAGTATGGGTTGGATAGTAGGTCAACCTCTGGCGCAGATCCACCTGATCGTCCTGTACGCGGAACAGCGTAAAGTCATTCAACATAAAGGTGGCGAAGGTTCCTCCCAGGCACAAAATCAGGATGATCACGATGGGTATTAAGGCCTTCTTGCCCCACTTCCACAGCGGGATTAGGAACAGCGGGGAAAGGAAGTAGAGCTGAGTGTCCACGGCCAAATACCAGGATTGAGAGATGCACTAAGGATAGGAGAATGGAAATTAAGATCTATCTTAAGAATCAGAAATACTTTCACTTACAATGCTGTAGGGGAAGGCATAGTTCTGGACATAGATCAACGTGGCCCACCAGGTGTCGGCGCACCTCTGATCCTGGGTGCCAAGCTTGAACCACATGGGTCCGGCGCCGGAGTACTTGTAGAGCGACATAATGTACAGGACAACGACGGCCACCACGGGAGTGAGTCGGATATAACGATGGAAGTACATCATCGGGATGTTCAGCTTGCCCTTAGTGCGCTCCATTTCCCGGAAGGCACCCCAGCACATCAGCAGACCGGACATGAAAAAGAAGGTGTCCACGCAGAGGGAACCATTCTGGACCAACATCGAGTATGGAGTCTCCACCCAGGTGTAGAACGCGTTCTTGTTGATGTGCGGCAAATCGTAGAAGGTCATGTAGCCATGGCCAAAGACCACCCACATCATGCTGAAGCAACGCAGACCATTCAGGCAGTGAATCACATTCGGGTTGTTGACCTTCTTTACGGTAAAGATTTTGGGGGCATTGGTCAGCACGGAAAAGGCCACCAGCAGAGGTTTCTTGGGAGCTATTAAACGAACGTTCTCTTTAGAAAGTATTCAGCTAGGAAAAACTTTCAAATCCTTAACTTACCTCCATTGCGGGTCTGGATATAATCGTAAACACTGCTGGCCACCATGAAGAAGATGATCAGCGAGAAGAAGACGCTGTTGGGTACATTAAGTTTAGTTTAATATTCGATAAATTGTTTTTAAAATATATCGATTTGTGACTCACATCGCAAATATATCAATGCCACGTAACTCGATGGGTGCATCATATTTGCAGCGTGCCTCCGTGACCATTTCAAAGTTCGGATCGGCCAGACTTGTGCCATAATATGTGGTGATGACGCTCTTGAGCAAGTCATTGGCCTTCTGAGGACTACAGGACTTGGGAACACAGATGCCCAGCTCGAAGATCTCTGGATCCGTTTGCTTATAGCTAATACGGCTAAACTCTTCTCCGCGCTTCTTAACCGATTGGTAGAACTCTTTGATATCCAGGCGAGCCAAGCAGTACTGTCCACGGACCTCATAGCTGTGGGTACTGGTTGCTGCCACGCACTCCTCGTACTGGCCCATGCTGATCGTATGGCCCCAGAAGAGACCAATGGGCAAGCGACCCCATGTGTCGGGAACTATAGGGAAAGGGGGAAAAAGGTTTTAAGTGATCTTTCTACAAAAAATTCTAAAGAATCAAGAAGGAATACATTTAATCTTTCCTTTTCTAAGGGCCACTTTCTATTTTCTAAATTGATTCAATTTAAAGAGCTTTGCCAAGCCAAGAAGCCACTTTGATTTCAAATATTGGATTAATTCGAAGAAGTACGAAAGTACTCGTTAGAAATATTTTTTTTCTTTTTAACTGATAAGACCAACGAAAGACCAATTTTTGTGCACCTGCAGGTCTTATGCTGGGGATTTGCAGCAACGATAAGCCGGCATATTGAAGGCGTCCGATATGATATGGTATATAGATACGATTAGTATTGCCACTGCGGACCTGTGGATTGGCAAGGCCCTTGTGCAGTTTACTATTCGGAATTGATTTATGGATCTAGTAAATTGCAATCCACTTGAAACCGTCAACAAACGCTGATACGCAGAGAAAATTATGAAGTATGAATGGAGTTGGGAAATAAATGGATCACAGCCCAAGACCCATAAAGACCTCAAATGACAATAGATGGCTAAGGTAAGGGGTTTATAGTGCCTATATATAACGATTCACTTTATCGTGGAAATCATGAATGGAATTGTGAAATCACCGAAACGAGATTACGCCATTAAAAGGGTAATCAAAAATAAGCACAATCAAGTTTCAGGGGGATTCTATAAATACCGCCGAAAGCAGACCGCGGTCAAAGGATCAAGTGGCCGGATCAGTCTCATTCTTAATCTCATAATCTTCTCAATAAATCATTATACAAATTCCCAAGCCAAACGAACTATAAATCGGAGTGTGATATCATTTTGGAAATTTCGCAGAGTTTGGCCATCGATCTTATCGATAACAAACTAAATCGATCGAATTGGATTTGCAATTAAAATTATGACTGCCATAAAAGTGAAATCAAGGCTAAACGGGATTTATGAATGGCCAATAGGGGAAATTACACAGATTAGAGACAAATGCAAAAAGCCAAGTGGATTTGTGGTAATAAAGGTTATCCTTTGATAAGGTGTTAGGTGAAGTAATTGGAACTGAAAAGTCTAAAATGGAGTCTAAATAGGACTCTGAATAGTCGAAAATGGAATAAGAATAAGGATAATTTCAAGGCTGTTAAACTTTCAAAGACTAAGCTCTGCTTAATGTCCTCCAAACTCTAAATTACTTTGGAATATTAAAAACAGAGATTAAATAGAATATTTTCAAATAACGATCAGTAAATTGCATTTTTGTTCAGACTAAAAATAATTTTTAAATTACAAAATAAAAATAAAAGAACTGCAATCTAAAATTCTAACAAAGATCAAAGAAGGAAGTGTGTATGAAAATCAAATCTGATCATTTATGAATTATAGTTGCTTCATTCAAGGAGTTTGTTAGCTAGTTTTAATAACTAAGCTGCAGAAAAGCAATTTCTATTCCCTAAAAAACGATCACTTTCCTTAGAAAGACAACAAGAACTGCATTCGGACTGCAGGTGAAGTTTTGATATTAATAAATTGCCTTTAAAACGAGGTACAAATCAAATCAAATTAAAGCCTTTGCTACTCGATTGCGATCACTGATCACTGATCACTCAAAGAAAACCATATAAAAGTAATGCTTACACTCCAGAGCCCACTCTTCCAGGTTGTTTATAGAATCCCGGATGAAGTTAATATCCCGATCGCAGAGTTCGTCGTCGTAGGCTCGGTCCTGGTAGACTCGTACCTCCTGGGTGTTAGCCTGTTGTCCATATTGGGAAGCCAAATTGAAGAACTGATGGGCAAAGCTGCTGGTCAGCGGGGATGAGTGACCAGTGAGAAGGTAGTTGGAGGTCGAATTCTGGGCGCTAACAGTCGCGATCAGCAGCGCGACTGCCAGGACACTGTAAAGGTCCTTCATAATCCGTAGCGTGGATCGTCGGTGGGTTTGGGGCAGTGATTTAGAGAACGCGTCGCGACCACCTGAAGGTGGTGTGTATTACTGAGTGGGCGATTGCATAGATCGCACAGCTTTTATAGGCTAGTTTTTTTTTTTTGGATCAACGTTTATAGGCCCGATTCGAGTGGGCACTTGAGTACAGCGTTGGCGATGACCAAGCAACGCCCGCCCCTGGAGTCTATAAATATTGCCAGCTACTGGTCTTGAAGCCCCCGTCGATAAGGGGGAAACCTCTCCTCGCCGAGCGTCTCCTAATCAATTGGCTTGCATTGCCCACCCTATCGCCCCGTGTGTCTTATCTGGCTCACTCTTCCGATCCCCACTTGGTTACCTTAACTTGGCCCATACCAATGGGCTGGATTCATCATACGGATTTGCGAACGTAGTCCGCCGTCCATAAATCCATGTCAAAGACAAAAGCAAAAAAAAAAAAAAGACGATCCACCATTTAGATTCGGTTTAATTAAATTACCGACGGCCACGGGGACTTTGGTCCCACGAGTAGCCCACCTGAACAGACAATTATTCGATCATTTCGGTTGGTGTAGAAAGTCAAGGTTGATCTGGGCAGGTTGGGAAGGTTGGAAAGAGGTTCCTGAACAAACATAGAAACATAGAAGAATGACTATGGCACTTTTCGTAAGATTAGAAGTTTATATAAAGTAGATAATATCTATTAAGTATCGGATATGAAAAGGTGAAAACGATGATCATTGTATTATTTTTCTTATAGGCTAAGATACGTAATGCTAGCTGGCGATGATATAACAGGGTTACAGTCTTAAATTGAGTTATCATTTAGCAGCCATATAAGGCGTATACCAAATTTATTTTGACGGATTAAAATGGTATTATGATGAAATGATTAGGAATTAAATATGATAAGAAACGAAACTTTAGTTCGGCGATGATATAATGCCCATAAATAAATTAAATAATATAATCTACAATTAGGATTGATAGGAAAAGCACAACTTCTGTTGCAGCAATGAGAAATATAGACAATAAATGTTGAGATAGGCCTTCCTGGTACACCTATCTAAAATAACTTCCCAGAAACCACACCCCTTATAAAAAAAAAACCTTCCCAGAATTTAAATAATCTGATTCTAGGCCCGCGGAAACGGAATCATTTCAAGGAGGTAAACAAAAACCAGTTTAAAAGCATAATAATCAGCCTTATTTCATTTACCATATCAGGCGATCGTATCACCGATCCGAGAGGCCACTTGCCCGTGTCTATTAAGATCGAGTGGGTGGCATTCGCCTGGATTGGATGACACTCACTTCAGATGGAGTGCGGAACCATCGATAGGGGGAGACCGCGAGAGTCTAATCTTAATATCTATCTTTAAGAAGGCAAAATTTGTTTATGGCGTGGGAACACCAAAGCCAGCAAACACCTGGCTAACTGGGTACTTGTCCACCTGACCAGTACAAATCTTATCTCCCGATAACAGATTACGCCTGGTGGTTACTAAGTCAAGACCAGATGGTGCTGCTCTGTGGATTTACAAGCTCAGGAAATCATTGTAAACCAATTCTACCAAAACTTTTCAACATCGTCAGAGTCGAATCTCAGCAGGATCGTAAATTAACTGATAAGTTTGATTAGCTTCGGAGGTTGGATGAATGAATCAGAGATTTTGGTGGCTATGAAAAAGAAATACTTGGAGTTTTCAAGATTTTATTTCAATACAAAATTATTTTACAAAATTTTTATATTTAACAAAAGTTAAGATATAGAATATATCTATATATATATCTATAAAATCTTTGAGAAATCTTTGAAATAATGATTTTTGTCTGTAATTAAAGGATATTCCAAAATATCTTAACTTTATTTTCTAAAATTTTCTACTAATTGATGGTACTCCAGTTTAACTCCTAGTTTAACTTTCCTTCATAGTGATGTCATTCAAGGTCGCCTGATCGAGTATGTTTGCCTTCACTTGGACTTTGCCAACCCCATGTGAAAGTCCCAGGTACTATTCATACGATTAGGGTGGACCTTCTTCAAATTAATCTATCAACTTACCTCTTGCCACCTTTCATACTAGAATTTCAGAATCTGTAAGAATGAATTATTAGGTGAAAATTTAATTTAAAAATATTCCAGAAAAATCATTCCTTTAACACATAAAAGTTTCTGCTTACGGCAATAACCTGATTCCATTTGAAGGAGTTCTTTAATAGATCTATAATATATGGAAATATCCTGAATATCCTAGATTCCACCTCTGCGTAAACCTATCTAGGATCGTATTCCATTCGAATCGTGCCACAGCAATGCGATCAGCAACATTAATCCCTCGGAGTTAGAACGTCAATTGGCCCGGCACTTGAAACTGTTTTCGACACATTATTTATAGATGTTCCAAGTGACGATGGCACGAGTTGATAATAACGGATAATTCCCAGTAGCGTGCGCTTCATAGAGTCAACTGTTCTATATAAGAAGAGCGGTACGGACTTTGCACCCAAACAGCCGTAGTTCTCCTGATTTCCGGCCGGCGATACACCATCTATATACCGACTTTATGCCGGCTATAAAGTCCAGGGAAAGTGAAGTTACTCGTAGCTTAAGGGTTATAAATCTTTCTTCTAAATGTGAATCATATCGACCCAATAATTCAAGGGCTCTCCACTCGTAACCCTCGATTCTGAATTCCCCAAGACCAAACGCACCTGCTTTCATTGATAAGACGCTACGTTTTGCCATTGAGTTATATTTAAATTTTGGGGAAAATATACATTATATATATATAAATATATATACTGCTTAGTTTGACTTAATCGACCTTTATTTTTGGACAGTTATCGGGCAGATTATATAATCATTGATTAATCTTCCAATAGATTGAAATGCACTAGAAAAAATGGTAATAGTCCAGAACTTATGCCCCCCAAAAAGAAATGCAACTTTAATGATAGTTTCGTTTTAATTTCATAATTTTTATTTAAATTAATTTATTTTACACTTTCAAGCAAAGTATTTAGTTAATTACAGTGTTGTTGGTTTTTTATTTTGTTGTTTTTGTTTGCTTTGTTTTGTTTCGCTTGGTTTGCTGTGATTTTGGATCAATACGACAAAAAAAGAAGGGACATAAAGTAGGAAATAGAGATTGGTAGAAACAATAATAATAATATTAATAATCATAATCATCGTAATAATAGTAAAAAAAATATTTATATATTTATGTTTAATCATACACTTATGCATTGGATGTGTATGCGTGTGTGTGTGTTGTTTGTTTTTTATATGTGTTTTTTTTGGGGAGGGGAGTATGTGTTTTTCTTTTGTTTTTTTTTGGGGGTGGAGGGGGTGTCATTAAATTAATGAAATCTGATAGAAAAGTCAAAGTCATCTTATCAGCTTAACTGTCGCACTATTTTACAAGTAGGTATTATGTCATAACGGTTTATCTTTATCATTTATCATTTATCGTTATCGTAATCATTAGCATAAACATTATCGTACTCATTATTAATATTAGTTATTAGTATCAATCGTTCTTCTTTCGTTTTTGTTTTACCATTTCTTTTCTCTTGTTTTTTGTTTTTGTTTTTGTTTTTGTTGTTGTTGTGGTTGTTGTGTTAGAACTAGTTTTTACTAAGGCTTGGTTTACTTTACACTTGACTTATCTATCCTTCGCATCCTTTGTGTTTTTTGTTTTTTGTTTTTGTTTTTGTTTTTCATTTTCTTTTATCTTTTTGTTTATCCCCTCTTCTCGAGTTCATTCATTTTCTTTTTTTGTGGCTTTTCTGTGTTTTTGTTATAAGAAATTACATTTTGTATGCATAATAATAAACGCGTTTAGCAAAGTGCTTCGTCTTCGGTTAACGTTTTTTCATTTTTATCTTTTCCGCTGCTACTGCATTTAGAATAAATGTTCATTTTATAATTTACAATTGTTGGCTTAACTATGTTATATGTATATATATATATATATATATTTATATATATATATATCCCCCGCTTTCGTGTGATCGATCATACCTAAGTATATATATAAATGTGTATATAGCGCTGGTTTTAGACTAAGGCTTAAAATCTAGGTATCATCCGGTTAATGCGTTTTGTGTTGCTTCTAAGTTTTCTGGTTTTCTGGCTTCCGGCTCTCTTTACTTCCGCTTTTCATCATATATAATTGTAATCACAAATAGTTTTGGAATATGCTCTCTCTCTCTCTCTCTTTCTCTATCCTTCTTTCGTTCGCCCTTTGCGTCGTTCTCACACAAAACGGTTAAAAAAAAAAAACGATAATTGATGTGTCTTTGCCACTCGCACTCGCTCTTTCACTCAGCCACTCTCTCTCACGTTCTTTCTCGCTCTCTTTCACACCCATAACTTTGTTCATTGCTGCTGACTGTGTGTATTAAAAAACAAAAACAATGCGCAGAAAAAAGACGGCAAGCAGCTCTTTCTCTCTCTGTCTAACTCTCTCGCTCTATCATCTTCCTTTTTTTGGTTACTATCGTGGGTTTAATTAATAATTAAACGCTGCGCCCGCTAATCCGATAACTTTTTTGTTTTTTTTTTTTTGTTGTTTTGTTTTTTACACCACCAGCACGCGGCGTCTGCATTTTGAAGGCAGCGTCTTGTTATCGCAACTATTACCGATCAACGATTGTCGATAATCAATTACCGATCATTGTTCCATACATTAAAAGTACAAAGGCATTCGGCGGCAGAGCCCAGTGACTTGAGTATGTTTTCGTTTCTATATAATAATATTTACTTTAGCTTGCTTTATTTTTAGTTTTTGTTTTTGTTTTTTGGTGTCTGTTTTTTTTTCGTTTTGTTTTTTGATTGTGTGCAGCGCAGCGTGGGTTTCACATTCTCTTCGTCCTTTCGCGTTAATTCTTATTATCGGTTTCATCGTTTATCGGTGGCAGGCGCAGCTTTTTTAGTTGGTTTTTCCAATTTTTTTTTTTTTGTTTTGTTGTCTTTCGCTTAATTAAGGAAACTATGCGCGTTTCGATTAAAAACACACTAACTAAAAGTATATATCCCGATATATATATATAATTATATGCCATATTTATGTGTGTGTGGCGGTGTAGTTCGATCTATATATATAAACGATATAACCGATTTTTTCGATATATGTATGCGCGGCTTACGAACTAGAGCATTGGATTTTACACACTCGCGTTCGAGTGATCTACTAGACCTATCAGTAATCGGTAAATATATATTTGTTTTATATACATATATATGTATATATATGTTGTATGTGTGTTTGTATTCGTATGCTTGTGTGTGGTGTGTGTTTGGGTATTTACAATTATGTTAGTTACTTGCTGATGTTGCAATCGAAGGCATTTTTATGCGCAGTGAATAATTATCCTAGTATCTAAAATTTACAAAATCCCCTTCTTCTGCTCGTCAACTGTCTCGCTCTCTCACTGTCTCCTATCTCTTTCTGATTCTTGGGCGGCGGCAACTGGTAAGAATGAAAACAGTTTGAAAACGAAAACAATACCTGCCACATACCATCTTAGTAGATACACTAAAAAAAAAATCATAGTTAGACATGATATATCCGATTAATGAAAGAACCCAATTGGAAACTACAGACTACGTCTAATAAATAGTGATAAACCTAAATCGTGTTTTAGCCTAAAAGTCTATAGCCTATATGGTTTTTTATTTTTGTTTTGTTTTAGCATTAATAAATAGCAATCAATCCTGCGTCCCCCGTAAAAAATCCTGCTTCCTGCATTTGAGACAAATGGGGTTTTGTTGGCGCTCCCTTATCCTTTTTCTTTTGGCTATCACAAAATCAAATACTAAGTAAAACCTCAAGTTATGTACAATAAGTTCGAAATTAAATGGATGTGTAAGTCAAGGAATTAGGAACGCACACACACACACACACACACATTTGCACGCACACACTCTTGCACGCGCGCACACACACACACACACACATGGGACATGGTTTCCTTAGGCTAAAATCCTTAATCAATATAAACAATCAATCGTGAACAATTTGTTAGAAATTACAACTCTAATTTGTTGTCCTACGTACGCACATATATATATATACATATATATATATATATATATGTATATGTTGTAAATGTTAGTTCCTTATTAGTTTCAAGTACCCTAAATCTGATTTCAAAGCATTTTGGCTATTGCTATTTTGTTGCTCTTGTTAATCATACTCCTTTCGTATCGCTCCCCCGGTCATCCTACTCCACTTGCTAAACTGTTTGGTGTTTCGTTTGCTACTGTCCTGATTCCTGATTCTCCTAATTGCGATTGCTATTGCGATTGCGTTATCGTCCTCGTACTCCTCCTCTTCCTCCTCCTCCTCATCCTCTCGATTACTTATTGTTGTCTGTCAATTGGAAGTGATTCTTGGGCTCTAGATTAGGTGACGCGATCGTGGGGCTAGGGGACAGGGGGATGGCGTTGAGGCTAAAAAGGATGAGGATTCCCGTTTTCGATTTCGATTTCGAATGCGATTGCGATTCCGTTTCAGATTCCTATTCCGTTCGATCTGTGTATAAAAATATGTATTTACTCTATGCGTGTTCCCAATTTGAAGCTCCTATAAGGAGCACTTAATCAACTGCCGATCGCCAACAGGCACATGTTCACTATAGGCTATATATTTCTTGTGCGGATGCGGATGGTCGGGTGAATTGAGTCGTGATCGTCATTATCGTCGTCGTCGTCATTGTCAATGTCTGTCAACTTGGCTTACAACACTACAAGGGTACAAAAAACTTAATTCACCTTTACAACACGCTAACTCCTCCCTCTCTCTCTCTCTCTTTCTCTTAATTAGCACAAACTTTGCTTTTTTCTTTTTAAAAAGTGGCGGAGTCATAAAATAAATAATGTTACGTTTTAACACATTTCGACTTTCGCTGCTGCTTAAAATGTAAGTCACTAAGGAAAGGTTTTTAGCTTTCGCTCGGCGTTTTAAACGCTGTTACATCGGAGGTGTCTCTCCCACCTCCCATTAACTGTCTCATAATCCGGATCATGTTCATCTATGATTTTTGTATGCTTGTTTCTATTTCTGCTTAGTGGAAACAAAGGAATTGCATTCATTAATACATGGTTTTTATGTGTTATTTTGGGGCATAATGAAATATATGGTATATATATTTGCTCAATCGCGGACTTAATATGGAAATCGAATCATAATCATAATCATAATGCTTTGTTCAAATTTTGTCCTAGACTTAAACAATAAGGGATTGATAGTTGTTGTTGTTGTTGTAGTTGTTGTAGTAGTAGTAGTGGTGGTGGTGGTGGTGGTAGTGGGGGATGTCTTATACTACATTAAAATTAGATGTGATAGTTGTTGATTTAATTATAATAACGCTATACAATTGGGGGTGCGGTTTACTTTGAAGATTAAAAAAAAAAAAATAATTAGTCACAATCGTTAAAGTTTAACACACACTGGTGATCCCTGCTGGCTGATGATGGTGGTGGTGGTGTTTGTCGACGTCTGGTCTGTGGCTACTGGACATAATCTTTCAGTCTAGCCCTGGGCCACGGCGCTACCATCCGTTGTAGCTGCTGCCGCTGCTGCTGCCGTTGCTGCTGCTGCACTAGAGTCTCTCTACAAATTTGGTCAGCTGGTCGGAGGCGTCGGGCAGGGCTCCTCCGGCATTGCCCACGCCCACATTGCCGACGTTAACGCCGACTCCAACTCCGACGCCCACACCAACATCCTGAGGTACACCTGGCAAAGGTGACTGATGATGCATGCCATGATTGTGCATTCCATCATGTGGTGGTCCTTGCGGCGCCGGTGAATGGCTGCTCATTACATGGTGCGGCGAGGGTTGGGCCCGTGGCGAGGCTGAGGGAGCAGCACGTGGCGAGGGGGCGGAACGTGGTGATGGCGTTGGCTGTGGTGAGCGGATGGGCGGCGAGGAGCGAGCCGATTGCATTAGCTGCTGAGACAGCGAGTGCGGCGTCGGTGGGCCCATCACCTGAGAGTTGGGTCCACCAACAACCGCCGACGGATTCTGGGCATTCGCATTTGGCATGGCCACCTGCATCATCTGCTGCTGCTGCAGCGGTTGTTGCTGCTGCTGTTGTTGCTGCTGCTGCATACCCGGCGGCATGCCCACGCCCATCTGCTGTTGCTGTTGTCCGGGTCCTGGCTTCACGCCAACGCCCACGCCTACACCTACTCCAACGCCGACCTGACCCTGCTGCTGTTGCAGCATATTGGAGGCGGCCGCTGCATTGGCCATCGAGTACTGATCACCTCCAGGCACGGCACCTGCTCCGCCGGGCACTCCACCCACTCCCACTCCTGCGCCTCCAGCACCGCCTGCATTAAAGTTGCCAGCTCCACCTCCCCCACCGGGAAATTGTTGCTGGCCGGGACCGGGTCCCGCTCCGCCCATGTGCGGACCACGCTGACGCTGCGGATATGGTGGAGGGTACTGGTTCATCTGCATGTAACGCATCTTGTTCCAGTTCTGGTTGGACACCTGTGATGGGGTTGGAATGTTTACTCAGTATAAAGCAGGAACTCATTGGGTAAACTTTGTTTCGGTTAAAGGGTTAGGGGGAGCCGTCATAAGATCGTTTCCATTGGGTTAATATAAATAATATTTTGATATAAGACCCTAATGCAGGACTTCTTTAAATTACAGGAACATAATTACGCTACTTTTTAAAGAAGTTATAGATAAATTAAAATATAAAATACGAATTTCAAGAATCAAAAATCTTCTAGTTAGTGTTGGGACTGAGAATTTAGTTTAAACTTTTCTTTGATCACTCACCATTCCTCCCTGAGTGGAGACGCCTGGTGACATGTTGGGCGGAAGGCTTTGCAGCATCATGGCTGCGTTCTGCATGTTGGGCATGCGCTGGGGGAGTCCAGAGCCTGGGCCTCCTGGTCCGCCCTGCTGCTGTTGCTGCATAAGATTGACCTGTTGCTGCTGCTGGTTAGGATTCATCTGCTGTGGACCGCCGCCTTGTTGCTGTTGGTTAATCATGTGCTGCATCTGCTGTTGCTGCATCACCTGTTGCTGCTGCTGTTGTTGCTGCTGCTGCTGTTGCTGGGGATTCTGCGGTCCGTTGCCCGCCTGTTGCTGCTGCAAAGCTCCACCGCCGGGGCCAGGGGCTCCTCCACCGGCCGCCGCATTGATCTGGGTTTGCTGACGCTGCTTGATGATCGCCGCCATGATCTGCGGATTTTGCTTCAGAATGGTGAGGATGTGCTGGTTACTCTCGTTGGTGGGATTATTCTTGATCTTTTGCATAATCTGGGCGAGCTGCTGGGTATTTAGGCCGCTGCCTGTGGCACTTCCTCCGCCTCCTCCTCCACCACCGCCACCGGGAGGTGGACGGACTCCGCCAACAGTTCCGGCCATTGGTGCTCCCATGCCCATACCCATGCCTCCGTGCTGTCCACCGACGGGCATTTGGCCTCCGCCCAATTGGTTGGGTCCTCCCAAACCGCCCATCATCTGTTGCTGCTGCTGCGGCGGTATCAGATTCGCCTGCATTAGCTGGGTGGGCTGGCGCATGCCACTGGTATTGTTGGTATAGCGTGCCTGGGGATTGCCACCGCCAGGATTAGCACCGCCACCGCCGGCTCCTCCACCGCCCCATTGATCCATGGACAGCAGATGATTGACATTCATTCCACAGTTTCCAGAGCCGGGAACTGGGCCCCCAGGGGGATTGCCACCACCGGCCGAACCCATCTGGTTAACGCCCACTCCGCCAACACCTCCGACACCAACGCCGCCGACACCTCCTACACCAACGCCCATGCCTCCGAGCTGATTGACAACATTAGGGTTGGGTCCAGCACCTCCCATCGGACGATTCATTCCGGGCGGCGCCATTGGCCCACCCTTGCCGAAGCCACCGCCATGCGAAACCTGTTGACGCGCTGCCTCTTCCTGGACCTGCTTCACCACTTGCAAGACATTTGGCGACGGTGAGTGACCGCCACCTGGTTTCATGCCAATTCCTGGTTGATGTGGATGCGGTGAGGTCATTCCGCCCATGCCAACGGCACCGGCTCCTCCCGAAACGGGCGATGGAACTGCCACGGTTGATGGCGACATGCCACCCGCTCCTGGCGGTAAAATTCCAGCCTGACCTGGTATCACTTGCTGGCTAACTGCCACACTGGACATTCCCACGACGGGTACTCCGCCAGAGACCACGGCCGGACCGCTGACTGCAGCGGGACCAGGCAAAGCTGCCGGAGCTGCTGTTCGAGACATGAGGGCCACACGACGACGCAGTAACTGTTGCTGTTGGAGTCTGAAAAGTAAGATAAGAATACAATCATTAATGGTATTTTTTTTTTTGGAAAATCCCACAAAATCAACATAGCTATAAAATATGTAAAAATAAAAAATAAATAAAAACGAACGCAATCTGTCGAGTTCAAATCGAAATGAATTAAAACAAATACATGCAAGCCAGTCGACAATTAATTTAAATGAACTCACTTCTGCTGGAGCTGCTGCTGTTTGAGTTTGTGCTTGATGTTGGGACAGAAGGGCACGGGACACTTCTGCTCCTGACAGTGCTTGGCGTGATAGCAACAGAGGGCGATGAGCTGTTTGCAGATTGGGCATCCACCGTTCGTCTTGCGTTTGCAGTTCTTTGTGTGTTGAACGACGCGTTTCATCTTCTGGCACGAAGGCAAACGGCAGTTGGCATCGCGACACTGGCAGGCGTGCACCAACGATTGGATGCAACGCTGGATGGACTGCTTGCGGGCCTCCTGGGGATTGGCCTGTTTGTGATCCGTCGGCGCTGAGCCGTCGTCGATATCGAAGCCGAGCTTCTCCATTTTGTGCGGATGTCCGACCTTCTCCTTGCAAACGATGCACAGATCAAAGTCCTATAAAAGACATAAATATTAGCATTGCTTATAGGTCCTGTATAACTTTCGATTAAGACATCTTTCTGTATTCTAATAACGAGCACCGAACTACAAGCTTTGAATGCAAATCTTTTTATGAAGCATCTAAATAAGTCGTCCCTACTTTTGTACTCAATTTGCATAAACAAAAAAAGAGCTTATTCATAGACCGCCTTTAGTAGCTGTCCTTAGTCACCCTGGTCGAGCCGGAAATGCTCCGGGTTTTTTTAATCTTTCTGGTCTCTACTTAATTCTGCTTTACAAAAATTTAATGAACAATCGTCTCTCGAGTTGAGCCGAAAACAGCTAGCTTATCAACGGATTCCCTTTCCTCTTCCTTATCTCTATACTTTGTATATATATTCGCTCAAGAGAGCTGATGCTACTGAGTTCATGGATTGCTATGAACAACAAGGCAATACTCACATCACAGACGGTGCAGTGGTAGCGCGTCTCCACCGCCGTCTTGCAGTTGTTGCAGGTGTATACGAACTTATCCTGGCCCTGGTTATGCAGCTCGTACAACATGGACAGAGTGGAGAACTGGGCACGCCGCAGCGACGAGAACTCAAAGTGCTTGTCGCGGGCTAGAGTCAGGAAGGCATCGCGTCCGTCCATGAGATCGCATGTGAGCAACGGATCGGGATCTTGGATGGGCTGTAAAGGGAAACGGAAAAAAGTCATAGTCTTTTTAGTTCTAGAAAGTTGGACTAGAAATAAAGTACACTTACCGCTAGACTCGCTGCCGACTGCGCCGAATGCAGACGGATAACGAAGAAGACCTCCTTGTGCTTCTCCATGGTGGCATAAATCTTAGCGGAGAGATCGTTGCCCGATTGATGCTCATTGGACTTTTTGCTGTTCTTGCGCTGCGCCGCCTTCGATTTGTTTGACTTTTTGGCCTTCTTCTGGCCCTTCTTCTTGCCATCACCGCTGACCTCATTTTCCTCAATGGAGAAGAGCTGAAATAGTTAAGGAGACGTTAAGTTAGAGATGTAAAACGATTTCCTTTAATATTTTAGTCATATGAACTAAAGAAGAAAACTTACATTTGCTGCAGCTGCTGCTTCGGCAGCCTCAGCCTGCTTGCGCTTCTCCTCCTCCTCTTGGTCCAGCTCCTTGATGCTCTCCTCCAGCACATTCGGCCAGAAGTCGCCCTCGAAGTAGGGTAGCTCTGCGGCAGAGCCCAGCTTGTCCTCCATCGCCTGCTTGAGTATGTCCTTGTAATCCTGTATAATGCGCTCGATCATGCCCTTGTCGAGCATCTTTTTGTACCATTCCTGCAGGCGCTTGGGCTTGGGGATCTTTTGGTCCGTGGGATGGCAGTGGAAGATGTAGTCATCACCCTCGGAGGGCGGACAGGCCCAGATATGGGCCATTGTATAGCCCAGCTGCTTCACATAGTCCATGTAGCCTAGCAGGATTTCGTGATATACCGCTGTACGGTATTGTCTTGGCCGGAAGAAATGAACGGAATCCAAATAGGCGATATATACACGCCGCGTATTCGGCGCCGGGCACTCGGATCCGTACTCCTGGACGTGCATGCCAAAGAAGCAGACATCAATGCCGTCCACCTCCTCGAAGGCGAACAGAGCTTTGGCGCGATATGGAAACTCGTTCATCATCTCGCCCTGCTCGACGAAACGTCGCCGCATTCCGGGCTTCACCTCGACGCACTTATCCGACGAGCTGACCACACGGATGTGCACCTCGCCGGCGCCCGCCTCCTTCTTCTTGAGGAAGTTATTCACTCGCGTCTCGATGTAGACGCCCAGCTTGGTGGTGGGCAGGCGTTTCGCATTGAACTTGTTCTCCTTTCGCTTCGAGTTCTTCTTCTTAAGGCAATTATCGCATACGAAGCCACCGGGCCAAATCGAGTCCAGCCAGAGCACACAGATCTGGTGCTGCTTGCGTCCGCACTCCTGGCAATCAACAAACGGCTCCAGCTCCAGGTGATCGTTCTTCATCTCCTTGAACTGGTCCTTTTTGATTTGGCTGGATAGAGAATGAAAACTCAGTTAGTTTTGCATGATTATTTAAAGCTTACTAACATAGTCTAAACTTAGAAACATCTAAAACTCATGATGAACACTTTCCTTTAGTTTAATTTCTTCATAAATTTATCTTTTTATTTATGTTCGGATCCCCTCCGATATCATAACATAACTTATGATTGATATCCAAAAATATCCAAAAACCCATCCCTTAAACTAAAATTTGCTACATTTTAAGATCAAATACTTACGTTTGCGATTGCAGTGGATCGTCGCCCAGTGTGACCGTATCGCCCTGGATGTCGTTAAAGCACTTTTGGCAGTAGGTGTATCTATTTGAGGCGACACCGTATTCCTTTAGACTGTTGTTTTGATTTTTGGTTGTTCGATTGCGTTTATATTGTTTGTTTTTTTTTTTTACGATTTTAGTTGATTGATGGACGAAATTTGAAGATGGCAGCCAAAAAGGGAACACAACAACACAGGCGTGTGTACAGGTGTATGGGTGTACAGGTGTTCGGATGTACGGATGTACAGGTGTGCGTGCAAGCGAGATGGTTATATGCATTTAGTCAATTGCGAGTGTGTGAGTGTGGTTTACATGTTGTTTTGTTGTTTTCCATTTTTTTTTTGTTTTGTTTTGTTTTTGTCAATTTTCATACACACACACACAGACACACACACACACAGATACAAAATTTGATAAAGACACGCAATAATACAGTTATGAGGTGACACAGATTAACGGGTATTATTATTATTATTTTGGTTTTTGTTGTAGTTGTTGCGGGAGAGAAAAGAAAATCAAAATAAACGAAAAAAGAAAGGAAGAGAAACAAAAATAGTGTTTTGTTTTGCATTAGAATTTTTGTCAATTACAACATTTAAGGGTTAGAATTATTTAATATAGAAGAAACTCGAATATCCCAAGTTTGTACTAAGCTTTTAATTATCGAGAAAAACTGGGGATATTTGAGCGGTAACATTATACAAGATCTGTTCTTGAAGTTTTCACTAAACTCCATTTTATATACATACAAACATTTATAGTGTAAATTGTTTACTTTTCTATATAAAAATGGTTTTTAATCATATCATATATCATATAAGATCGAATTGATAGAATTGGATATTGAAGTTTTGTGATTTCAAAAGATAGAATTTCTTATATAGTTTGTGTTTAACTTAAAAACAGATCTTGTAGTTGGATTATTGGGAAATTTTGGGAATGTAATTCTTATGGATAACCGAGAATTTAAACCGCTCGAATTCTGCAAGATCTGTTTTCTTCCAAATCGATCAAATTTTATCATTTGATTTTTGATTGTTTTGCTCTGTTCTCCCTAAACGAAAAATGTGGAAGGTAAAGCCTCGGCTTGGACCAGGGATTTTGAGAATTGCGTTGGATTGTATCCAGAATAGTTAATGGCCATGATGGATCTGGGGATGCATCAAGCAACAGCAGCAGCATCGGAAGCAGCAAAAGCAGCGATATTAAAGGAACATTATTAAGGTGTTTGCGTTTGTGTGTGTGTATCATTGTTGGTTTGTTATATACCTAATATATATATATATAAGCCTCTTTATATATTCTATCAAATTTCATGGTGCATTGTGCAACATTAATGGTTTTATGTACACAGCAACGTTAAGGATAAAACACACACACAGAAAACACAGAATAGAGAGGTCAGCGGGAAAGGAACAAAGGGATCAAGGGTCAATAGCCATCAAATTAGTGCACAAAACGGACATTTTTTATAGCAAAAAAAGCTGCCTGATAGCAGCATATCGAACATTGACATGGAATCGATAATAAAGAGCAAGCGGTTTACATCTAAATTACAAGAGCTGTTCGGGTATTGTGTAATTTTGTACATCATTTTTATATAGAAGCCTAAAGATATATCTCAAAATTGTTTTTAAGAAAGACATTTGAAACCCGAAACAGGCCTTTGATTACAAATATTTTCAAGAACTCGCTGAATTGAAACATTCAAAAACGAGCAAGCTGCTTAATTCGAACTAAATTACATTTCACATCAAACAGAGAAACGGAAACGAAACAGAGCCAAGCAAAGATCGTCTTCGTGGCGAGCAAGTGGGTCTTAGGGTAGCAGGGTTGGATTGCAGGATCAGATGATCACATACCTGTTCTGGTAGCTATAGTACTTCGCATCCCGTGGAATCGTACAAAGCTGCTTGCCATAGCAGCAGAGCACTTGTGGGTTGAATGTGTACTTCCTGCCGCAGCAGTAGCCTAGCGCCTGCATCACAGGATCAATCTCCGCCTCAAAAACTTCGGAAAGCTAATTGACAAAGTAAGAAATAATCATATTAACATCCAAAACTCTCAGTGTCTCATCTAAGTAATCCTACCTTTGTGCAATAGCGATAGACCCGCGATGTCTTGCGATTATACAGCCAGGCATTGTCGAACATCAGCCATACGTCATCCACATACTCCCAGGGGTCACTGTACTTGCCATTCTGGATGTTGGTGCGAATGGTACCCAGATCCATGGGCTTCTTCACGATCTCAAAGTAGTCGGGAATGCCCAGTGCTTGGGGATCAACCGGATAGCGAAAGGGCACGGATTCGGGCTCCTGCCTGTAAAGCTTCTCCAGCGTCGGCAGTAAAGCGGTGCGCAGTTCTTCGGGATTGAATTCTATATGGAGAAAAAGCAGATGTAGAGATGAGTATTCGACCCACACAATAATAAGAAATCTCCCCCAAATACATAAAAACAACTTCTACTTACGGCATTTCTTCTTTTTGTCACCCGCATTGGGAGCCAGTGGTTCCGGTACGAGTGGTTTCGTATCTGTCTTGGGCTTTATGTCCACTGCGCCGCCAGCCGCTCCGCCATCGTGGGCTCCATTGATGTTGTCCTTGCCGCCGCCAACACCGCCGCCGCCTTCACCATGATGATCTCCGGCTGTTGATCCTCCAGCCTCATCCACATCCATGACCTCTGTCTTGATCTTGACATCGCCATCGAGACCATCTTCCGTTTTGATCTCCATTTTGATCATACTGGTGCCGTCGTTGTTCACATTCTTGCCCTTGCCGCCGCCCGTCGAGCAATCCATCTGGGAGCTGTCGTTGTTGCCGCCACAGCTGTCGTCCATGAACTCCTTCTTGATATCATCATCCTGCTTAATGGAATCCAGCTTGCCCTTGGATGCCATTCCGCCAGCATTTCCGCTACCGCCACTGCCGTTTGTGTTCTCACCGGACGGCGAGGGTGTCTCATCGTCGTTGTCACGCGCCGCAGCTTCCAGGGCAGCCATCTGGGAGGAAAGACTGCTGGAGCTGCTCATCATGCGACTGCTCGAAGACGTCGAAGTGGTGGTTGTCGCCCCCGCGCCGCCTCCAGTTGTTCCTCCAGACATAAGGTGCAGTGGATTGCTAGCGGGCGTCGTTGATGATCCTCCTCCTCCTCCGCCACCGCCACTGCTAGTGGCCATCGTGGCTGAAGTGGGAGTGGACACAGAGCTGAGTGGTGTACCTGAGCCCGCAGAGGAAGATGATGACGTGGAACTGGCACCAGCTGCAGTGGCTCCACTGCTGCTGTTACTACCACTTCCACTGCTCGCACAGGTGGCTGCTGCTGATGCGGGCGTACTGCTTGCCGCCAATCCGGAGGCACTTGTCGCCGGTACTGGTGAGGCGGGTATATAAGGAGGCGTACCCGGCCGATTGCTCAGCGGCTGTTGCATCAGACTGCTCACCGAGGGCGGGTTGTTGTTAGCACTACTACTATTATTGTTGTTGGAGGGCGTGCCGATCGACGGACCGTTGGACAGGAAGCCAGGCGATGGACTTGGAGCTGAAACCGTCACATTGGAGGCGGATCCTCCCGTTCCCGGCGCTCCTGCCCCCGCATTCAGAGCCTCTAGACTCGTGGGCGTGGGCGGCATGTTGTTCAGCACACTGCCGGGTTTTTGTTGTTGCTGTTGCTGCTGCTGACCTTGCTGCTGCATTGGGGAGCTAAAGCTGTTGCTTGTCGCCTGTTGCTGCTGTTGGAGGGTCGTGGCATTGCTGAACGGCGACTGCGGCAGCAACATTCCCTGCTGCTGCTGCTGTTGCTGCACCTGCTGTTGTTGCTGCTGCTGCTGCTGGTGAATGTGACGCTGCTTCATGATCTCACTGAGCTGAGAATTGGCGCCAGTGCCGCCGTTAGCATTGATGAACTGCTGCTGTTGCTGCTGTCCCGGCACCGGACTGGTGAGCACATTGGTCGTTTGGTAGGGCGAGAGCGCTGGGTTGACTACCATGCCACCGGGACTAGGTCCTGGTGGACCGACCAGCATTTTGCCAGCTCCAGATCCGGGCTGTTGCTGCTGTTGTTGTTGTTGCGGGAATTGCATACGCTGTTGCTGCTGTAATGCGAGCATGTTGCCGCCGGGTGAATGACTGCGCATAGTCACCATGTTGTTAGTGACTCCCACACCGACACCGAGAGCTGCAGCCGTCTGCTGACCCAGTATTCCAGGTGGACCCTGTGGACGCAACTGCTGCGGAGGCATGACACCGCCCATTGGACTGATGCTGGGATGGATGCAGCCTTGAAGGGGTTGTTGTCCCTGCTGTTGCTGCTGCTGTTGTTGCTGCTGCTGCTGCTGGGGGAGAACTACACCTCCGGCTCCGCCAGCTGCACTGCCCGCACCACCAGCCGCTCCTCCAGCCACCGGATTCGCAACGCCCTGCTGCTGCATCAACATTTGCTGGTGCTGTTCCTTACGCTTCAGTCGCTTCTCTTCCAGCTCCTTCTGGATCTTGTAAATCTTTTCGGCTAGCAGGTGATAGTACTCGGATCTACACTTGGCCATCTCGTACATGTCCTTCTCGACCTTTTCCGCATAGGACACCAGATTGTGCATCCGCTTGTCCTGCATGGTCGTAGGATCCGAGGTGGGGAAGATGGCCTGCACCAGTTTGTGAACGAGATGGTTGCGGAGATCGGCAGTCACCGATTCTCGCCAGTCCTTCTCGTTATCTCCTGGAGCTCCCGAGTTTCCGCCATTACCGCCGGCGCCTCCTCCTCCTGCTCCTGCATTCTGGTTGGGATTCCCCGCGTTGCCACTGCCTGTGGTATCGGCTGGCATCAGTACACTGGAACCGGCGGGCACTTGGCCACCACTCGCTCCAGCGCCCGCAGCCGCTCCGCCCGCTCCTACCACATGGCTTTGCGGATGCACTTGGGCTACCTTTAACTGCTGCTTGTCATTGGCTCCAACGGCTCCGCCGGCTGTGGCACCACCGAAATTGGTATTGCTAAAGCCACCGACGTTGACAGAGAGTGGTGCTGGAATGTTGCCACCCAGCTGGGCGGGATTGGGTTGCTGCTGTTGCTGTTGCTGCTGCTGCTGTTGCTCCACCATTGTGGCCAGGCCAGCTCGTCGACGGTTCGGGCCTTGCTGCTGCTGCTGTTGGAGCATCTGTTGCTGTTGTTGATGCAGGCTATTCACATCGTTCGCCAAAACATTGGGTCCACTCGGGCCGCCAGGTCCACCAGGTCCTAAAACCCTTACGGCCGGCTGAGCGCCTTGCATGCGAATCACTGGAGGCAAACCCTGCTGCTGCTGCTGCATTCCACCGTTTGGTCCGGGCGACAGACCGACTTGGCCCATGCCATCGAAGCGACGGAGTTCCTGCTGGACTTGCTGCTGATGAACTTGCTGTTGCTGCTGCTGCTGTTGGGTCAACTGTTGGACCATGTCCGCTGTCGTTTTGGGCGCACCCGGTGCTCCGCCGGCTCCCTGTTGTTGGGGAAGAACTATGGCAGTGTTCTGGCCACCTCCTGGGGGCACCTGCTGTCCTTGCTTGCCATCAACCACCAGACCCGTCAGATTGGGCTGCTGGTTTTGCTGCTGCTGTTGTTGCTGCTGCTGCTGCTGTTGCTGAAGGTTACCGCCTGAGCCGGCTGCTCCACCAGCCGCTCCTCCAGCACCGGGCGGTGCACCTGCAATTCCTGCCGGTCCGCCACCAGGTGGTACACTCGCATTTTGAAAAACCGAATGATTCTGCCGAAAGGGATAGCAAATGATGCAGCCACTGTTGGTGCAAGTCTTATAATGCAACAGGATCTGGCGTGAGGAGGCACAATGCTGCATGGTGCAGTCCTTGCTCTGCTTGCAAGTGCCCATGTGGGCCAGCACAGTTTTCATCGCCTTGCAGTAGTTAACGTTGCACACTTCTCTGTTTGGGTTTAGGTTCTCCCTGCGGTTGCATTTGTGTGCATGGAGCAGCAGCATAAGTTGCTGCTGGATCTGTCGTTTGCGGTCGTCGGGCACATCGCGATTGGCGCCACCGGGGCCGCTCGCTTGTACGGTGCCACCGGCTCCACCGCCTGCAACTGCCGGCACAACAGCACCAGTACCTACATTGCCCACAACGCCTGCTCCTCCAAGAACGACTCCCTGCTGCTGTTGCTGCTGCTGAGAGGTTCCCGGTTGCTGCTGCTGCTGCTGCCCAGGGTGGCCGAGTAGCTGATTCGGTTGCGGAGGTCGCGGTCCCATAGCTCCGGTTTGCTGTTGCGCCAGCATCTGTTGCTGCTGGGGATTCCCGCTGACCAACTGACCAGTGGGAACATTTCCATCGCCTCCGAGTGTGGACATGGGTACTACTGTGCCGACGGGTCGATTGCCCTGTGGCATTCCCGGTACGACGCCGCCTCTTTGGGCCATTTGCTGGGCAAGCAGTTGTTGCTGTTGCTGCTGTTGTTGCTGGGGATTGTTGCCACCGCCTGGGCCACCATACTGACCTACACCGTAAGGCAGACTGTTGAGTTGGCCTGCAAACGGATGAAACGATACTTAGTCACCGATTTCTTTTTCTAGGAAAGCCACTAAAACTAAGAATGAGAAACATACCCATTTGCATGTTGGGATTCTGCATGCGTGGTCCTCCGCCACCAGGTCCATTACCTGGTCCACCAGCTCCACCTGCGGCGCCCATGAGATGCGGACCACGAATCATATGCTGTTGCCCCACCATGCGTCCCATCATCGGACCATTCTGCATGTGCATGCCTTGATTCGTGGTAACGGCTCCACCGCCGCCAGCTCCAACACCTCCGGGACCAGCTCCCGGTCCTCCTGGTACAGAAACGGCATTGATCATGCCACCGCCGCCGCCGCCTGGCTGCTGCTTTAGATGATTGACCATGCCGCCCATGCCACCGCCAACGCTGTTGGTTAGCACCATGTTTCCCAGATTGCCCTGAGCAATGGTGTTCATGCCTGCCGGAAAGTCAGAGAGAAATAGGGCATTAGAGAGGATGTTCTTGATACGATCTCCTTGCTGTCTTTCGACTCAATTACAAGAAGAAGTTTTAACACTTACCTGGTATGGCGTTCATGCCATTGTTGCCATTATTCGATATTGACATGGGCATTGAGTTGACCATACCCATCTGAGTGCCCACGACCTGCTGCATGCCGCCCTGGTTGGGCGACTGCAGGTTTGGAGACTTGCTGCCCAGCTGCTGCATTCCAGGCACCACCATGGTGCCCTTCTGGCCCTGCTGTTGCTGCTGGAGTAGGTGCTGCAGCTGCTGGTGCTGCATTTGACTGATCCTGTTGCCCGCACCGGAATTATTGCCACTGCCGTCGTCGCCGCCTGTTCCGGATCCGTTGCCGCCGCCGGCTCCGTTCATCTGGGAAGGCACAACGCCGACGCCGACAACGCCACCGACGCCCACATTGACTCCAACGCCAACGCCGCCAGGTCCTGAGCCGGGTCCTGGTCCTTGGGCTGCCGGTTTATTGGGTCCTCCGCCGGGATTTGGTCCTGATGTGGAGTTTGTGGTTACGCCGGAGGAGCCGCCGCCTCCATTGCCACCGCCTGCTCCGCCGGTCAGCTGATCCGACCAGCCGCTGTTCGAGGACACCAGCTCATCGGGCAAATTCTCCTCCAGAAAATAAGACATGTCCGCTGTGAGAAGAGTAAATCAAAAGAGGACTTTTTAGCAAACGATTTTTGAAGATTGGAAAAAACGAAATTAGACTAAATTCATGAGAAAAGACGATCTACACTCTTCAAGCCTACACTTAATTATGAAAAATTATGAAATAAGTGAAGAATTTTTTAGCTCGCTTATCTTCTTGAACTAAAATTATATTACTCAGCATTAATATTCAAATATTTTATATAGTACTTCACATATTATCATGGGGAGGGGCAATAATACTAAAAGAAAGTATAAGAAAGTCCTAGGGTTGTCATGCCTTCGAAAGAAAAAAAAAGCCGGCTCTGCGAAAATTCAAGTCATGCTGGAATTTTCTTTCGCCTGTCAAAAGTAGGGACTAGAAAATGGCGAACGGAAAATTTGTGCAATTTCTGGATTGGGTACTCACTTGGATCCATTTTAACCCGCTTCTGGGGCGGTTCGTCTAAGTGATCGGCCATCATATAGAGTTAGTTGGATTTTTCCGTTGCGAATGCACGGTAATCCAATAACGAGGAAGGAAAAACGTTTGGAAAGTCGGAGGAAATTAAGAAGGGGAGCTTAAAAGAGTTCCTCCGGTTTGCCGATTGTTTTCTTTAACTATTCCGAGTTGAGTTTTTAAGCACGTTTAGTCTTTTTTGTTTTTTTTTTAAATGATTCTTTTGTCAGATTTGGTTTTTTATTCGTTCTGGTTAATGCGAAGACGTTGACGGTCGGTCGTATTCTGATTTTAGCGTTTTGACAAGGAGCTTGTCCTTCTTCGTTTCTTGATATTTGACAGTTGTTGCACAGGTTGCCAGAAGGTTTTGATGTTTAGTGTTTGGTAATAGACTCCTTCTTCTTCTTCTTCGTCTTGTTGTTGTTTGTTGTTTTTGTTTTTTTGTAATTAGTTTGGACACTTTGCAACACACGAACGAACGAACGCACGCACAATACACAACACACAAAGAGGCACTCAAAAGGCGTGGCTGGCGAGGATTGGGATTTGGTATTGTTGGTATATTGGGATCTTGATGATGGAGGTTCTTGCTGTTGTTGTTGCTGAGGTGTTTGTTGCTAAGGATGTTGTGGCTTTTGTTGTTGGTTTCAGTTGTTGTTGTTGTTGTTGTTTTGCTAATTGCCGCTGCAACGACAGCAACAACGTCGCCGGCGCTATCGTCACCGCAACGTCACCGGGTGGAGACCACCACGTCGTCGTTCCTGTTGCTTTCTTTCCTGCTGTACCCGCACCGGATCCTCCTTCTTCTCCTTCTTCGCCTTCTGCCGCTTCCGCTGATCCTGGAGGATCGCGCAGCCACCACCGCCTCCTCGTTGCGGCGCCGTTGAGATCGTTGTCGTTGTTGTCGCCGCCACTGGCGCTTTGGCCAGCAGACAACTCCTCCTCCACCGCCTGGTGCTCCTTTTGCTTCTTCGCCTGCTCCCGCTTGACCAGTACCTCGTCTTCTGCTTCTACTTCCTTGTGCTTCGTTAGCAGCAATTTATTGTTGCCGTTGCTGCTGCTGCTGCTGCTGTCGTCGTTGTTCTTGTGGTTGTTGTTGTTGCAATTGTTGTTTGTCGAACAGCAGCAGACACACGCGTGCATTTTGTGTTGTTGGGCCCCAAAAAACAACAAAAGTTGACCTTGGCTGGGCGGCTCTTGTTGTTTGTTGAGTTTGTTGCTGCTGCTGTTGTTATTGTTTGTTGGATTTGGTTTGTTTTGTTTGTTGTTGCCTGCCTGCCTCCACTGAGCGAAAATTAACGGTTGCTGTTTTGGCTCTCCTCTTCTCCGTCTTCGTCTTCTCTCTCTCTTCCTTTTCTTTCCGCCTTTTTTTCCGCTATCTTACATCTTTTTTCAGATTTGTTTTTGGCGGCTTTTTTCGGCTCCGCTGTTTTTTGTTTTTGTTGTTTATATGTTGTATTTTTTACACATATATATATATAGATATTTTACTATATATTATATATGTATGTGTGTATAAATAATATAATTAATTTTTTTTTATCTGCACTTGCTTCGGTTTTCATTTACAATTAATAAGAAAAAAAGCAATTCACAATGTTGGCTGTTGTTGTTGGGTTTGTTGTGTTTCGGTTGTTTTTGTTTTTGTTGCTGGCGCTTCTGCTGCTGCTGTTGATGTTGTTGCTGCTGCTGCTACTGCCGCCAATTGCCGCTCTAACATTGCACATATACTGTAAACGCACAAGAAGAATGATATGCTGCCTATTAGATTATATTGAACACAACGCCGCTCACAAATATCGAATGCAATATTTATTTATTTTCTTTTTTTTTTTTAGCCGCGCGCGAGTGGCCAGCAAAACCGAGGGGAAAAGGGAAACGAAACGAAACCAAAATGCAGCGAGACGAGACGATGGCAAAAAGGGAGAGGAGAACGAGAATGGGAGAATTCTCTGGTTCTCGTCGTACTCTTCTTTGCGCCGCTTGACGACCACTCGTTGCCGCTCTACATCACTCTCTGCTCTGTTCTTGTCTCGCAATTTTATTCGCCAATACTACGCGCTGTACTCGCTACTCTGCCCGCAGACGTGTGGACGTGTGTGTTGGCCTCTCGCTCTTTTACCGCACACTACGAAAATGAAAATAATAAAATTTATTTTGCCGCCAGTTCCCCCAAAAAAAATTATATGCCGTCGCTGGCAAAATTAAATTGAATAAGAAAAAAAAATGCTTTAAAATTTAATGAGAACAAATTTTTGAAAAATATAAAAACCCCTTAGAAAGGCAGAAAAAAAATCTAGAACTCTGCTTAAAAAAAATAACTAGAATCGCCAGCCGGCTGAGCCTACAATTTACAGTCCAATTTACATTTTAAATGGCCGAAAAAGTGGCCGTATTTTGGTTTTGCTTCCGCATTCGAGCGGCCATCATATGAAATTCAATTTGTTGGGGCGGCGAGTGGCGAGTGGGGTGCGAATGGGACGACACTAGCGTTAGTGGGGCTGGCTGACAAAAGCTTTCACACACGCACGCACGCACACACATTTAGGGTTTGGGGCGCGCGTACAGAATTCTCACAGCGACGCCAACGACGTTTTCACCACACAGTTACACACACACGCACACACACTGGCACACCAGAATCAGCGAGTTCGTGGAAGAGCAAGCACGAGTCCGAGAGAGAGAAAGCGTGTGATGGTATTGGTGGCATGCGGCATTAGTGTGCAATACACACACGACGGTAAGCGACAACGAGTGCGAGGAGCATTGGAAAAAGAAAGAAAAACAGACGACAGAAATATATTCCATTTTTTTCTGTGTTCGCTCGTCGTTTTCGTTTCGTTTTCTTCTTCACGTCGTTTCAAAGTTTCTATTGCAGAAATTTTTTGTGTTGTCTCCGCCAGAGCGTTTTTCATTTTTCCCGGCCCGCACAAAAATGGCAAAAATTATTTAAGCAAATTCGAAATTCGAGAAAATGCTGTAGAAAATTTGAAAAAATTTCCGGCCACATTTTGGCCGGTTTTTTTATTTTTACACCACTTCCGATTGCCACGCACTAAATTTCTAAATATTCTTTGAATTTTTGCCGAATTTCGGTTTCGTACCATATATTTTTCACATTTTCCGGCGATTTTAGAAAAATCCCACAAACTTTTTCGCAACACTAAAACAAAAAAATTTCAGTCCGCTTGTGTTAATCGTTCTCCGAGCCAAAAATGTTTTTGCTTCAGTGTGACCGCGGCTGGTCGTTCAAATACACCACCGAGCACGGAAATTCACTAAAATTGACTGTTTGCGACAGCACGCGAGTGGGATCTCGTCGCTCTCGCGCCCTGTTGGACCGCTGCTATCACACTGTTACGGCCCGAAATCCATACAAATGCCGCTGTTAGCGCTCTGTTGTCGCCATAACAGCTGTTAACCGCTGTTTGTAAGCCTGTTCCGCTCTCATTTCTCGCTCTCTGCGTCGGCGAGTCCGCTCACGCCACGCGCTCTCAGAGAGCCGATACGCATACATACGCACACATATGGCGCGCCAGATAACGAAGCAGCGAGACCAGAGATGACCACAACTCACCGGTGACACAATCGCCGTTTCTTTAATGCTACCAAAATCACAGTTTCTCGGGTCACTTCAATTACGAACAAAGGGTTTTGAAAAAAAATATATAAAAATCAAATTGATTCTGTTTCTTTTTTTATATCAAATAGCTATTTACTATTTCTTTAATAGAAACCAACATATACGTATACAATTTGTTTTAATGATAAATATATGTGACAATAAATATGAAATTCGGTTGTTTAACGTAATAGCAAACGAATCATTGTCTGTTTCTAAAACACACCCATTTATAAGAATTTTAATTTAAAATCATTTCCTCATTTATATCTGCTATCGTAAATAAAAAAAATAACATATTCACACACCACGCAAATGATCGAGTGACTGGCTTGCGCATATCTAGTGGGCGCAGTGTAAGTGTGATTCCACTAGTTCTCGCCGCGAGAGAGACAATGAGAGCAAGAGAGAGAGGCAAGCCGAAAAAATCAGCCGCCGCAGGATAACACTATCGTTGTCCTTTTCCGACGAACCGGTGGCCATGCAAACAACGCACAGAACAAATTAATTTTCAAATTGTTCAATAAATGTCGCACCAGCTTCTAATTTTGTCCCCCTTTTGCGAGTAGAAATTTGGGGATTTTTTTAAAACCGCTCTACAGTAAACTTTTTGAGCACTTTTTCGATTTTCGCGCGCTGCCGAAAGGCAGCGTATTTATTTACAATTTTTTTTTGTTAGCGGCCGCCGTTGTTTGTTGCATATACACATCGCACATACACGCTTGCACTATGGCACACTGACGCACGCACACCGACACGTTGTCACCGAATAGAGTGGGATGGCAATATGGCTGGCTGGTGGTCGGTGTGTAAGTGCGAAAGTGATAGCACAAGCGAGACTCGAACGAGACGGGTCAACGAGTCAACGAGAGATGAGTTCGATTCGATTCTCTCTCTTTTGCGATTGGGAATAATGCCCGACTTTTTACACTAGATGCGCTGGCTCTGGTTATTTAATTATGCTATTTTCCTCGGGACATTGGCAATCGGCGGCATTAAATTTGCCGCAAAACACGCCACACTAACCGATAGATCCGATCCAACGTCACTGCTGCGCCTCGCGTGTACAATTTGCGCCAATTTTCCCCCCTTTTCTACTCTTTTTTTTTCAGCCCAGCACCGCTCCTCTCTTCCTCTTCTTCGCACGAGCATTCGTATGCGGCTCAGTGCTGTCACTCTGAATCATTTTTAGATAGATCGTGAAACTAGCTAATGGTCTAGCTTATTTTCAAATATCATCTTCCCGTTCTCATAAATCACGTTAGATATATGTTTGTAAATATAAAAAAATATATTGTATATATATGTATATACACATAAATATATATATATATATATATATATATATAAATAAGAAATGAAATATATCTTTTAAACCTAAGTCAAAAAGATTAAAAATATTGGCCGTTTCGGGCATGTAAAAATTATATCTTTAACGCAATGGAAATATAATTATAGAAAAAATTAATTTTTTCGCAATTTGTTAAGTAATTTAGAAAAAATATAAGCAGTTTAAGTCGGCCTTAAGATTAAATGTTTAAAACGTGAATATCTGTTTTTTCTAATATTACATTTTTGTTTGTATAATTTTAATAACTCATCAAAAAAGTTGAAAGAATGACTACATGACCACATAAATGAAAATTCTAAATTAAACTTCTTAAATAATTTTTAAAAATATTTACGCTTATAACTACAAATATAGATAGTTTAAGTTTATTCTTTGCTTTTAATAATTTTGGTTTTAAGAACAAATATAAACAATCGTTGTATCGAATATTTGTCTTCAACTGCAAACATATCGGATTATCGATTCCAATCGGAAAATCCAAGACACAAACCATGTTCATGACTTAACAATAGAGCTAGTGCCGTCTTTATCCGTCGTAGCGTCCCTTGTTAGTGTTGCCTATGTAAAATTATGTAAAATAGTAAATGAAATCTTCTGTTAGTATGCCATTTGTATTTTAAGCATTTATTTTTTATTTATGTTCTAATAGATTTTTTTTAAATAGCACATATTAATAATGTGATTATACTTTATTGAAGGAATGACTAAAATATTGGAACAGGGACGCCAAATGTATTTAAATCAATTTGGCCAAATATGAAAGCTGGCTCTAGATGTCGTTGATAGGTGGCGCTTTTTAAAATAAAAACTTAAAACAAAGGTTTTAAAATTTTTTAAAAATAAAAAATAAATAAAAAAATATAATAAATACAAATGTAAAGAAGTTAAATAAAAAATGTCTATTGTTTTCCTACTTCCTATTTGTTTCATGTAAATAATTTGCTTGTTTTTAGATTGGTTAAGTCTGTAAAATATTTATTTAATATATAATATAATGTTTTTTTCTAATCTAGATTATAGATTCATTAATTTGAAAAAATCATAATTTGTGTCTCTTTAATTCAGATTTCCATCTTTGGTTTTTTTTGCTAAATATTTAAATATATTTATATCTTTTTTTCTGTTTGCAATTTCTTATGTTTATATTATTAAAATAATTATTAATATAATATTAAATAGTACTTAATTTTGGTGGTCTTCATATTAACTATTTATACTTTTTGTTTGTTTTGTATTTTTCCTTTTAATAATACTTAAAGAAATTATTTCGAGAAAAATTCAAATTCTGATTTTCGTTTTTTATTTTTTATAGAATAAGAAAAAAATTTGAAAAATAATTTATTGCTTAATACTTTTATAATTTTTTCTATAATTCATTTTTTTAGATATATATAGATATATATTCCATATTTTTTTTGAGTTTTTTCTCCTTCTTTGTAATATTTTATGGGTTTTCTCCTTAGTAATAAAAAACTTAAAAACTGATTTCGAGTAAAATTGAAATTTTGTTATTTGTTTTTTTTTTCAGATTAAAAAAATATTTTAAAAAATAGTTTATTGTTAAATATATTTACAATATCTGCTGGAATACTTTTTCTTAGAGTTAAATGGCAATCTGTCAGCAAAATAAGGAAATTAATTTCTTGATTTTGTTTTGAGTTTCTAAATCTAAAATGCATTTTGTTCTCCTTCTTTGTAATATTTTATATTTTTCCCTTAGTAATAATAAACTTAAAAACTGATTTAGAGTAAAATAGAAATTCCAATGGGCGGCTTCGTTTTTTGGGGAATAAATAAAAAATAAATAAATATTTTTGATTTGAACTCGCAGTGGCAGTGCCAGTCGCACAGGTCGTGTTCCCTTTGAACCTGTTGGGCCACCGACTGAAACAAAGGGCCGTCGAGGGAGGACAAAGGAGCAGCGGCAGGTTCTAAGGGGCATCAAAAGAACAGCGACTCGCAATTTGGAAGCGGACCAATTAGTTGTCCTTTGTCCTGGCACTGGCACCTTTGTCGCCTGGATTTCGCAACACACACACACGGGCCGAAATCACATCGATTTTTCCCATGGCCCATGGTTGGCTTTTCCTTATGTTAGTTTGCCACTGTTTCAGGGGCCAAGGAAGAGTCCTGTTTCGGGGTCGAGGATCCTTCTTTCGGTTTTATTTTCCGGGCCGTGGAAGGAGCGCAGCGGGGCGTGCGGTGCGAAGATCAGAGGAGCGCTCCGCCGCGGGGCGCCCTCAACTGATGATCATTTCGACACCCCATTTATGCGGCGGCTTCTTCTCTTTTCTTCTCTTCGCTGGCAGCTCCTGTTCTACATGCACCGAGAGAAATAGTTGGATGGTTTATTGTTTGGAATTTAAGTTGAATAAAAGTTGAATATTGTCTTTCAATCTGTTTGTGTTTTTAGATTGAATGTTAAATGTCAAAGTTGTTTTTTGATTGCCCTTAAGAATAACTTTAGGAGTTTCTTTTACAAGCTTATTTATTTTATTTCTTAAAAAATTTATTTATATAATTTTGTATACATTAAACTTACTTACTTTCTTTTGCAAATTTATTTAAAAAGTCTAAGAAATGTATTTTATTGGGTTCTAAAAAAAGGAAAATAAATAAAAAATACTTTTGCTTATTTATTTAGATTTTTAAATTCCAAAATCGATTTAATTTGCAGTCTAATAAGAAATAGTAAATCAGCTACTAAGTCAATTAACATCTTAACATATATATTTTTTTATTTATATTTATATTTTTTTTATATTTAATCTTTAAAAATTCATTTAATTTTTTGATAAATCTAATAAAGTGATTATTAAATGGCTTAGGAAGGGATATTACTATAGAAACTTAAAAAAAAACATAAAAATAAAAATATTTATGTATTTATTTATTATATTTAAACTGCAAAAATGTATTTATTTTGTTACAAAATTTTATTATTTAATAATATAATAAAATATATTTTCAAATGGCTTACAAAGAGTAAAGTTTAAAAAGAAATACGGAAACCTTGGCCCAAGTTCGAAAATTTGAAAACTTTAAAATTCGACAAACCTTTTTATAAAATTAATTCCCTTTGTTATTTAAATATTCCTTAAATTGAATTTTAAAATAAGTATCTACCCTATTTATTTTTTATTTCTTATATATAAGTCTTAAATTACAAATTACTTAATATATACTACTTAAGTTTAAGTTTATCTTTAATTTTTACATATTCTTTTCTACAAAAATGTCACAAAAAAGTTTTTAAAATTACAGAAATTTCTTAAAGTGTAGCAACAAGTGCCTCGAGTTCGGACATCAAGAGATTTTCGTTCGGCCTCGACCAAGTGATTTCCCGGGAAGTGTTAGAATCCCCTTGTTTCGGCACTC